CTGCATGATGTAGGCTACATCTGCTACTATCCATTCTTTGTCTGGTCTATGCGATCCTTGTTGTGCAACCACTCTTATTACCAGTAAGGTTGCCCAGTCCCTTAGATTACCTATCTCCTCGTCACCTAATACGACTTCGATTACTTTGAGTAATAGCCCTATTGAATGTGAAGGGTGCTGTGACATTTGTATAACAATTCGGTCTAATTCTTGGCAATTGAATTGTCTGGTAGTATCTTTGCTACCTAACAATCTTCAGCTCGTGGTGGGCGCTGACTTCTGGCGGAATCTACCTTATGATAATCATAATATGATTTGGTATTTCACTGGTCGAAGTCCGGTCATGTAGAGGCTCAGCTTGGTGCTGCTGCAATTCCCCTGAAGCCGATTCGATCATACTGTTTGGAATCGCGCGGGGTTAAGGAGTATTTAGACGGCGAGGAAAATACGTATACAGTTCTTGAAGCACCAGACTGTACAGCTATACGAAGACCTATACGTAATGGTTCCTCAATTTCGTATGAATGGGAAGTAGCGTGGCGTTGGCTCAACAATGAGGCGCCTACGTCTATATCCTGTCCCGAGGAGTATTCCCTTCCATCCCTAACTCCTGACCAACTTTCCTTACTCCACCAGGAGATTGATGCATGGATAGCAGATGGTTGGCTTCTGGAAGTTCCTTCAGACCAGGAGTATAAAATTTGATGCTGTCTACCTATTGTACCTGCAATTAATGAGCTGAAAACTACTCCAGTCCGACCCACACTCAATTTTGCCTATCTCAACTCTTATTGTATTCAAGCTAGTGATCCTTTCGCTGCCGACTGTGGGCGAGAGCTACGACGCTGGCACCATTATCCCCAAGCCCAAGTACTCGACGTTCGGCGAGCATACCCGTCATTGAGGATCCGTGATGACCTCAGTTGGTACCAGTGCTTGAAGTATAAGGGCCGTTGTTATAGGCTTGTCCGTTTAGGGTTCGGAGCGTCTTGTGCTCCGCGATTACTGAAAAATGTATTAGATTTTATTCTCCAAAACTACCCTTCTACTCTCCGATACTTCGATGATATTTTGGTGACTCGCTTAAATACTCAGTCGGTTGAAGATTTCAAGAAGGTGGTGACTGCTGTACGAGACGTCCTATCTCAGAACGGCTTACGAACAAAAGAGCCTGTGGATTTGATAGGATCTGAACTTTTGGGGTTGGCAATTTACCTAGATAGTAATGGTGTCCTACGTTGGAAGCGGCGTCGTCCACTAGAAGCTCTTGTTGAATCTATTGAGTCCCGTGTTAGTGAGTCACCGACATTACCCGCACGAGAGGTTGGTTCATGGCTTGGCGAATTTGTCGCACATGTACCTAGTGCTGGGTACTTACGTGTCTGTGTTGCTTT